CTCATCTCTTCTCTTCTCTTCCCTCCCCTCCCCTCCCCTCCTCTCCTCTCCTCTCCTCTAACTGCATTATTGTTTCCTCTCTGCAGATGTTAAACCTGTTTGTGGCTGTGATCATGGACAATTTTGAGTACCTGACAAGAGACTCCTCCATCCTTGGGCCCCATCATTTGGATGAGTTTGTTCGTGTCTGGGCTGAATACGACCCAGCTGCCTGGTATGTACGCTGTTCTACTTGGATGTGGAAAAAGGATATGCGATGTGTATAAACACCATACCTACACACACACACAGCCTGTTTTAACGTGAGTGCAGCTCCAGAAGGAAAATTACTCCAAAGCTTGAGGTAACAGTAGTGGTAAATGCTCCAACTTCAATTCACCGTGACGGGATGAACAAACCTGCTGTCATTAGAAGGGCATTTCCTCCAAACAGACACAAGAGAGACATAAACCAATAAATCAAGACAGCAAAACGCACCCTCCTCCCCACACACACACACACGGCCAAAAATAATTGGTAAATTCAAATGATCTTGCCAAAATGGCCAACTAGAAAAGCTGTTTAGCATTTCCAAAAGGAGCTTTGATTGCCTTTGCTTTCTGCATCCCAGTTTGGAGAGAAAAATACGCCGAATCTTTTGCCATTGGCAGCAATTCAAGTGACTTGAGAGGCAAAGCCTCGTTACACCTCGCTTGCGCGGCGTTTCTCTCCTAGCTGAGAACCACCCTCATGGTTTCACAAATGCTGTGCATAGACCTGAGGCTACAAAAAAAAAAAAAAATTAAAAATCAAGTTTTCAAGGTGCCATCTCTCCCTTAAAAGGAGATGCTGTACCCCACCACTTTGCGTCGGAGTGCTCAGACTCCATCGTTGGCGTTCACCCCCCGGTGAGGCAGTGAGGGGGTGATACGACGGTTCTCAGCGCGAGGGTGCTGTGCTGAAAACGCGATGCTTTAAACAGACATTTCTCATTGAACCCAACGGTTTTGGTCCTGGAAGCCGCCTTCTGATGACATCAGGTTGTAGAAGGGCATTTTGTTCTTCTAAATAATATTTTAGCTTTTGGACTCGTGGGTGAAACGTAAGGCGTGAGAAATAATCAGAAGAAACTGCAATAAGGCGAACTTTGGAAGGGTTTCAGTTCTCAGTGAGCCTCTGATAAAATGTTCTTGATATATGAGTGTGTTAAAGGAGGAAATGGTTCTCTCGCAGGCAGCCGGTGAGGTGTTTGGGTTTATGGTTTTATCTCTTTGTTTCTCTTATTCAAAGACGCTCCCAGGGAAAGCTGCGCACATGGGCTTAAGCCCCGTGGCCGCGGAGCTGTGGCAGCCCCAAGAGCCACTGCTGAAGCGTTTTAAGGATTTTTTTTTAAAAAATGAGGGAATGGCTCTGACCACTGATCCTGGAGCAACGCTGACGTTAGTACATTGCTTCTCTCCGTTGCCCAGAGAAAGCTACTGCACAACAGCCCTGGTGACTGCGTTATTTCCATTTCTAGATGCTGTGAGATACAGTAATTTCCTTGATATTCTGCAGCTTGGGAAGTTGCTTGTTGGGAGGCTTGCTTTTTTTTTTTTTTATTTAAGGCCCTACTAATTTTGCATCCATTTTCCTCCCCACGAGTTACTCTGCAATGAATCTCCTCCATAGCTGTAATGAAGCCGCCTCCAGCTTCTCCAGTCTTTTCACTCTGTTTTGTTTCCCTTCAGTAGAGACAGATGCAGAAAGTGTTTGTATAATCAGCATCTCAAACTCCCTGCTAGGATGCAATTAAACTGCTTTAAAATCTCAGTTAAATTGATTTAGGCTAACTTTAAATGTAAACCTACTCCAAAATGACTGCATTTCTCTGAACTGTGCGTGATTTTAACTAGCTCAAAGCTACGAGCCTGCATATATACTGCGCACATACCAGCAGCTTGTCGTCTCCGAGCAGATCTTCATTACCACGTGCTCTGTAAGACAGACAAACCCTTTGTGGGTATTTGGCAGGCAGTAAATAGCTTTTTTCTTTTTTCCTTTTTCAAATCCAGTCCTATCTCTTACCACTAGAAGATCTCAATGAGACTAAAAACTTGGGAGCGCCCGTTCTCCCATTAAAAAATAGTCTTGGCTCTGATTAGCATCCGGAGGAGGAGGAGTAACACACCTGCAAGGGAAAAAATTAGTATCGATGTGCTTTTTAAATGTTTATGTGTTCAGGAACTTTCCAGCGGTAAGAGGCACAAGCAGAAAGTTTACAGAAAGATTTGCTCGGTCTGTTACCTCTGAGCGCAGAGGTTACGTTTTGTGAGTCACTCGGGGACCAAACCTTTTCACTTCTGGAGCTGTTAATACAGAATATGTCATATATTAAGATCCTAATCCTGTTTTTTTCTAACCTTGTTCCCGGTTTGCTCTGGTGTGAAGCTGTTGATGTTGGCAGAGCAACCGGGGGCAGCGGTGCGAATGGAAGGACAGCCAAGGCATGATGCTCGGGGCTTGATCCTAAAACCTCCGCACGTTCTGGATTTTCCATGTGTGAATGGTTCCACTGAAATCACTTACGTTTTCGTAAGTGGGACGAACATTGCCACAATTTAAAAGTAATCTGAAATCCATTCACACGGATCTTTTGATCGTTTGGGCTGAACCTCTGTGGGGCTCTGGAGATGGTATTTCACAACAGCTATCGAGGGATGGAGCCTCATTAACTTGTCTTTTAAGGTCTTTTGATCTGAAGACACGGGGTTTGAGAGGACCCATTTTTTATTCAGCTGTTTGTTCCACTAGTGGGTCAAACTCATTCAAAAGAAAATATTGATCCCATTTTTGTTTTCCATGTCGGCCACCTCCTTTTAGCATTTCAGCTCCCAGTACAGACAGGGGTAGGGGAATGTTAAATAATGACCACAGCACAGTTTGCAAGAAAGAAGAGTTCCAGGCAGTGTTACGTTATGCTTAGATGCAGGTGAGCTGGTTCCTACTTCCATCGCCTCTCTCATGGTTTCTTCTTTAATTGTCCCAAGGAAAAGGGAATTACAGTGTTTGTCCACTTTCCGTAGCTTAAGACTCTGGATGAAAGATGCTGCATGGGTAAAAAGTACAAGTGTTGTTATACCTATGTTATATAGATAATATTTTAAACACAGGCTTCATGTGTGTGTATTTACATACCTATTTCCAATATCACTTTTGGTTTTGTTACAAAATCCAACTTTCCGTAAACTTTTTTGGGGAAAATCATTCAAAAGGAAGTAAAAAAAAGCAGCGAGCCGCTGTTCTAGATGTGTGTGACACTCAGTGGGGGTAAGTATGGGGAAACTGTTGGATTTGGGGGCGGCAGAAGCCTCGTGCTCACAGAAAAAGAGAGAGCGAGAGAAATGGGGCGCAGAGAGCGGTTTGGTCTGGGGCCGGGAGTTAATCAGGAAAGGACTGAAAACTGAATTTAAGGATGAACTGGGAAAGAAAAGAAAATTGGATTTTTGTGCGCTTTTATTTATTCAAGATATGTAAAGTGAGTGGTTTCTCTCTCTTGTACTCTCTTTCCCAGTGCTTACCCCTTAGAGATACTGGAAATGTTGGTCTTACCATCCCATTGCCATTAGTTGCTCCCAAGAGCTGAGGGAGATGCTACTGGCAGCACCTTCAGCGGTCGGGAGGAGGCAGAGGTGCTCCCAAGGGAGAGGTTTTTCTTTAGCTCTCTGAGATAAAGGGATGCTGATAAAGCTAAATAAAACTCAAATAGATTTCAACAACCTGGGAAAGAATCTCTGCTTGTTATAATTCATCAGAATTTGCTGCTGTGTCCTTCCAATACTGGTTTTCAAGCCTTCCACGGCCTCTTGGAGAGCTCAGGGAACTGCTCGTACCTATTTTCTACACACTGATTTTACAAAACCATTCTAAAATTTGGGTAAACTTCTTGACTCAGTTAAACCAATATACTTTTTATAACCATGATTAGGCCTGCAGCCAAGACTTGCGCAGTTCCATTTGATCTGTTGCTAAATTAATAGTTTTGAGTTGATTGTGAAGGTTTTGAATAGACCTTAATTTTTCACGTCCAAAAAAGCACTAATATTGAAGGAGATATTCCAAAATATTCCAGCCTTCTTTATATAACATACCAAAATAAACACAGCGAAGCCAAATCGTCTCGTTTTCCTTTAGAGGTCATTTTGAAGTTCAGTACAGCTCCTTTGGTACATGATTTGGTTACTTACAAAAGATTAAGGAATCTAATCCTGCTGTTAAATTGGCTGAAAATATCATTGGGAGTTAATGAGACTGACCATAAAACGACCTCGAGGCGTCTGATTTCACGTACTGGTAATGAAAGTGGGATTTTCCCAGTGCCCATGGCCAAGACTCTCCGGAGATGGCAGTTTCTGGACTTCCAGCAAATTGCTTATTGCCCGTGAAGCAGAGTACAGCCCTGCTGGGGTTACGTAGGTGGCAACGGTGGAAAGTAAAGGTTCCCAAGCTCTTTTGAACCAGCTAATCTGAATCCCAGTATTAATCTATAAAATAGGCTATTTGTGTGCTGCAGGCTCTGGTTTTGTCGGGCTGCCGCAGCACCCGGGCGGTGGGTTGGGGCCGTCTGTGGGCAGAGGGAAGCGAAATATTAGTGATAAAGGTAACCAAATGCAGCAACTGAAGGTTTCACAGAAGAAAACCTAAGGATATAGCTTTTGTTGAGCAGCTGGAAGTTCTCTCTCTCTCTCGGTCTGTGTTTAACGTGCCTCCTTCCCTGCAAGCCCAGTTGCTGTCAGACTAACCTTGCTTTGCAGCGCGTTTTGCCCTTCCACCTTCTGTTTCCCTGGGGAAAAACTGATTCCTCTCGGTTTTTGCTGTCGTAACATCTGATGTTTTCTTTCCAGTTGCCGGATTCATTATAAGGATATGTACAATTTGTTACGTGTAATTGCTCCACCCCTGGGCTTAGGAAAGAAGTGCCCTCATAGGGTGGCATACAAGGTTTGGAACTTCGGAGACTCCCTCCAGCATTTTCCGTTCTGGTTTTGTTTCTTTTTACCCCCTCCCAAAGTGCAAATGCAAACGGTACAGAAAAGAAACCGTAACGTAACTAACCCCTTGCCTGAAAAAAGGAATGATTGACTGACTGCCTCCTTTTTTCCTGGATGCATCTCTTCCCCGTCTCCTCCCACACCCCAGCTGGCTGGAGACAGGCAGCTTTATGAGACAGTGAACCCCACAGCTTCCATCCTGCCGGGTCTAGGTGGGATGTGTTGGGGAAAAGCAGCACAGTATCCGAGCTCTTTCTCTCTATACATATGTGCACTGAAGGGAAATGTCATCCCAAGATTTCTAGGGTGTAGCGAGTCCATTTTGTTTGGGCTTCATAGTGTTGTCACTCCAGTTGAACAACCAGCGTTTGAACCCGTCCCTTTCCTGAGCTGGAAAGACATTTGATCTGGGCACTGGTTAACTGGGCAGCAGAGTGGGATGGGGAGAAAGGAAGGGATGAGCTTTTCCCAGTGCAACAGCCAGAGATTGCCTTGGGAGCAAAGTTGCAACTCTGAGATCGTAAGCTATGATGGACGTCCAGTGACACCTCCTGCCTCATGGCACAAGAAAAGCAGAGTGTGCTTGGGAGTGGAGGTGGGGAATTAAGGACAGATCTTAGAGTCATAGAATGCTAGAATGGTTTGGGTTGGAAGGGACCACTTCCACTTCCACCCCCTGCCCTGGGCAGGGCCACCTCCCCCCAGCCCAGGTTGCTCCAAGCCCCGTCCAACCTGGCCTTGAACACCTCCAGGGATGGGGCAGCCACAGCTTCTCGGGGCAACCTGCCCCAGGGGCTCACCGCCCTCACAGGGAAACATTTCTTCCCAATATCTCATCTAAATCTGCCTTCTTCCACTGTAAAACTGTTCCCCCTCATCCTATCACTCCATGCCCTTGGAAAAAGTCCCTCCCCAGCTCTCCTGCAGCCCCTTTAGGCACTGGAAGGGGCTCTGAGCTCTCCCCTTTTTCGCCTTCTCTTCTCCAGGCTGAACCCCCCCAACTCTCCCAGCCTGTCCTCCCAGCAGAGGGGCTCCAGCCCTCCCAGCATCTCTGTGGTCTCCTCTGGCCCCGCTCCAACAGGTCCATATCTTTTCTCCTTCTTGCCAAGAAGTCAGCACAGGACAACACTGGACTCCAGTGGGCTCCCAGCTACAGGCAGGGATTTTCTTGCAGTCAGTGTGGGGAGAACAGAAGATGGAGGAGGGAGAAGTGGAAGCAGCCAATATGGAGCTTGCTTTTCTCTTTCATTCCAGTCCAGGTGTTTTCCACACCTGATTGAGGATGAAGAGTTAACAGGCATTACAGAGAGGCGTGAGACCCCGTCCCTCCAGCCAGGGAGCAGGGCAGGAGCGAGAAGCCGGGGGAAGCCATTGGCTGTGATTACAATTAGTGTCTCTCAGCAGCTTTTAAATTACCTCTGGGCTACAAAACCTGGGTGGTATTTCAACCGCATTAGTTACCAAGGACAGGAATAGATGGTTTTGGCTTGGTAAGTTCTCTCCTCCGCCCCCTCCTGCATCGATGCTCTACACAGGAATTGAGACCTGTGTCAGGGCTGGAGCGCGGCTGTGGAAGGGGTTTCATGTGGGTGCTTAGGTCTTGGTTTCCCTCCCAGTATAGTGGAGATGATAAGACTGTCCTGCTTTTCCAGGGGTTAAACATTAATTAATAGCAGGCTGCAGTATCCTTAGGTCTCCCCAGATGACAGGCAGCGCAGATTTGCACAATATAATAAGCAGGCAGCTCGCTGGGAAAACAAAAATGAGATTGTCATAGTCATGCTCCCGGTTTCAGTAGTCAGAAAAAGGCGAAGGAGGAGAATTCTGTGCTATTTCCTCATCCTTTGCTTCTCAGGGCAGGATTTTATTTACCACCAACCTGCGCTGGAAGTAGATGCCATCAGTAATGGGCTGGTCGAGGGGCCTTCTCCCAAATCTCCGCGATTCCCAGTTCCCCCTAACAGGCGGGACAGCCAGCTCTCCTCTTTGGTGGAGACAACCACTTGACGTTGGCTTGATGAAAGAGGGGCCCCATCAAATGTAAGGGAGAAAGAGGTCCCCTATCCACCACCTTCCTGCAGATGGAGCGCTGGGCTCTGGTTGCGTCAAACCCGAACCCAGGCTGGAGCAGGAATCCAGAATGGCTGAGGTTCTGCAGAGTTGCACCCTTGGCTTGGAGTCAGAGCAGTCCCCAATCCGTCCTCCCGAGCAAACACACCAGGACTGGCTTTTTGCTTCGCTCGTAGCCCACAGGCCAACCTGAAAACCAAACTCTTTGTTCCCTGAAGGAAGGCTGAATAATTTCTCCAAGCCCTGTCTCTCCCTGTCCCATAACTCTGCCTACCAGCACTCCCTGGCACGGTCCATACAGCCTCTTGACCGACGGGTTTGGGGGGGTGAGAGGGGGTAGCATCCCTCCGGCCAAACCCGTGCCCTCCCCCTCCCTCTTCACCCCGAGCGGAGACATCAATCATTCCCCGCGGGGACCCGCGCGCTCTGGCCGCGGGCCGTCCCTGCAGCGCCGAGGAGATGTTGGGCGTTGAAACACAGCAACGGAAGCGGAGAAACCTTTCGATTTACCCACCTCTTTACTTTGGTTTTGTTTTCCTGAGAAATCTGATTAACCGGATCTCTGTTTTCTTGTCTGCTTTCCCTTCTCTGCCCTCCTTTTCCTTTGCTCCATTGTGTTGCCTCTCCCCCTCCCTCCATCCCCTTCCTCCTTTTTTCCCCCCCTCCACCCGGTCTGGTTTGATTTCCGTGTCCTCTTTGCTTTTGCCTCCCTCCCTTTGACTCCAAGCGGGCGCATCAGTTACACAGACATGTATGAGATGCTGAGACACATGTCCCCACCTCTAGGCCTTGGAAAGAAATGCCCTGCTCGTGTTGCCTATAAGGTAGACCAACCCCCCCTAGAAACTCCTGCCAAACCACCAGCTTTTTTTGTGCCGTGGCTGAAGCGGGTGCCGCTTTTCTGTGACATTAGTGTTGTTCTCTTCGACTTTTCTGGTGCTTTCTCTGCTTTCTAAGCAGACCGGATTTGGGATCTTCTGCTCTTTTTTTTTTCTTTTTTGTAATGTTTTTTTTTTTTTTTTTGGTCTTTGAAACTATGGCACATCAGTTTGTCTTTCTAACTATGTCTCCACGCTCTCTCTCGCTCAGTGTTTCTCTCTCTCCTCTCTCATTCTGCTTCCATTTAGGCTAATTTGGGGAGGGAGGGTGCTAATGAGCAAATTACCCCACCAATATGATCCCCATTTATCTTCCTAGAGCTCTTTGACTATCCATCCTCACTAGCCCTTCAGTAGTATGCTGTTTTTTTTCCCCTTCTTAATTAGATTGGAGTAATTAGAGTAGGCAGTGCTGTAGGAGTGAGCAAGCTATTAAACAGAGGCGGCACCAGAAGGGCTCCTTAAATACCCTCCTGAAAGAAATTATTTTAACAGAAAACATTTAAGACAGTAAGATGAAGAAATCACTCCAACTTATTGTTTATTCTGAAAAAAACTTTTAAACTGAACCATGAAAAAAGCATTCTACCCAAACCACTGCTAGCTGCTGCCTTGCAGGCGCTGCCAGGGGGAACGCAGCGGGGCTCGGATGGATGTAGAGTTGAAAGTGTGAAGGAGACCCCGACTCCTCCGGGGAAAGCCACACGGCTCTCCCAACAGTTGGCGTGGCACCTGGGAATTTGCATTTTTGAACCTCACGGTTTTGGAGGGAGAGGTTTGGCATGAGCGTGTAGCGCTGGTGCAATTCAGCGCCCATCAAACTCAACAGGTTGGGTTTTGTTTTTTTTTGCTGTTGACCTCATTTCAGCCACCGCCAAGCCTGATGCCCGCCCCCTGCCGTGCTCGGTGCAGCGGATCCGGATCACAACATCCCCTCCCATAGCGCTTGGTTTTTTTTCACTGAGGCTGTATCAAAGTGAGATTTTGCGAAGAGGCTCATGCTAAACCCAAACCTGCCTTTTTCCAAGGTGCTTAGCAGCAAGAAGCAGCTCAGATGCGGCTTCCTACAAGATCCTTCCTGGGTGTGTTAGGATTTAAAATAAAAAAAAATTAAAAAAATAACCTTAAATCTCACCAGTTAGATGTCTTTTTTTTTTTTTTTAATAGATATTCCTTTGGATTTGTTTCTGGCTACTTTTGTAGCTGTTCTAAAAGAGCATCTCTGTTATGAGCAATTCATACCCACCACACTGTAACTACTCTTGAGGCTGTGTCCCGGTGCCAGCTCCCAGGTCTCGGCTGGATCGGGTAGATGAGTAGATAGATAAACATCTCTCTGGAGGAAGCAGAACACAGAAACCCAATGCTTTTAAAGTAATCAATGTCTCCTCTTAGCACCTGTGAGTTTGCATTGATCC